ATGCCTCCAATCTGGGCACAGAGCTGTGTGATAACATCCATTTATACACGGTCTCAGCCCATGCCCAGATCGGGGGGAGGGGGAGTCATGCAATAATCTCTTTAGAGATACCAAGAGTTTTCTCAGACTGAGAAGAGTTCTTTCAAGAAGTATGATGCTGAGAAGAAAAATGGCAGTCATAATGAGAAAGTGCTTCCCTTAGATTATATGCATATGCATATGTACACATACAACTTTGTTCTTTGGGAAAGTGAAGACACTGGTATCTTTTAGATGAGCTGGTTTGTTGGCATGTCTTCATGAACATTACACCAGCTCAGAGATGGTGGAAAGCTACCAGAATGGGTGCAGTTTAGCTTTTCCCAAAGATGGGAAAGTGAATGGCAGACATGATAGCCTCAGAATTATAGACATAGTAGCCTCATTTTAAATAATAATGCCTGCATGACATAACTTCCATGCAAAATCTATTTCATAATGTAATTTTCAGGTATATTTTTCTCATTCTTTTCCTTCCACCAATTCCTTCCTTAGTGAAATGTAAAACCATTCCTTTAACAATAAACTAGATGCTTTCCCTTCATAAATATTTTTAACTCTAGAGATCTGCCTTTATTGTGCACCTTTGGTGTCAATTTCCTCGTTGGTCTAGGAAATGTGCTTCTTCACTTGGCTTGCTGACACCCTTTCTCACTAACCTGTGCCTTAATTTAACAATTTACATTAGTTTCTTTTTTCAAATAAAAGAAGCCATATTGTATACTGGCCATTAAGACTGTGTACAGTTGCTTAAAAATAGTGTGCTACAAAGTTGATGATATATTTAACATGTAGCTCTGAAAGAATTGTTCCTTCAGACTGTAAGTGGAGTCTGTTATGATTGTGCTAGATTGTGCTGGATGTCAGAGGATGCAGCAGACTAAGGAAGCACATTTGGTGATTGCAAGCCAATGTACAATAAGAGAAAAATCTCAAAATGTGAATCAAATCCTCTGGTACACAGCTGGAATTCTTTTCACTGAGGACATAACTCATCCATGAAGACCTGGGATGAAACCATGTATCATAGTAGAAACTTCCCCCTTTTCCAAAATAAGATGAATGTTTGTGTGTGTGTTTAACTAAATTATCTCAAGAATACATTAGTTTTATTTAAGCTAAAAATCAAGACTGCAATGCCGTTTATTTATTTATTTATTTAAAAACTTGGCTGGAATAGGTCCCATTGTGTTCAGTGGGGCTTACTTCAGAATAGAGATTCATAGACTTATAGTGTACCTGTTCTTGTAAGGCTTGTGACTTTTAGGCAAATATAAAGAACTGGGGGTTTGATCCTCAAAATGTTTAGTCCCTATTTTGCAAGTCTAGCAAGCTTTCTTAATGAGACAGATTTATTATACTCTATTAAGTAGCTGTTTCCAGTACCTGTGCCTTCATGATACTGTGGAGATGTCATTCATAATATTGTTTGTTATACTTTTAGTGAGAATGATGTGATTAAGTACTAGAACCTATTTATTCATTTTGTGTGCTGGATCATTTTCAAATTCCAGGAATGTCATTCTTTTAATATAGCCAAACCTAGATAGAAACCAAAAGGATCTATTATCATGTCTAGTTCATCTGAAGTGTCACTTAAGCCCTTCTAAAACTAACCTTGCTTGCTGAAATCATGTGGTTTGAGAATCAGTCAAAAAATTTGCTGATGTTTGATGTACTCACTGATGATGTCTCAAGTCTTTGGTGGGCACTATTGCAAAATAATGGCAGTTTGGGTGGATTGTTGACAGAATGAGAAGGTATGAATGCTTTATACACATGGAAAAGTGCTGTCATTACATAAAGGTGCTTCAGTGCAACAATAAGGGGAAAAATGATGGGAGGAGCTGTGCCAGCTGCAGAAGAATAACTTCATATTACTGTGGAGAATTACGTCAGTTACTGCTCTTGATCACTTTGATACCCATTAATGTCAGTGGGTGTTGTTTAAGCAAAACTCAGTTATACCACTAGAATCAGTGCCTCAAAATACTTTAACTTTGGTTTGATTGTGTTTTATGCTTGGAGAAATGTTTTGAGTATATATTCTGTTCCATATTCAATTTCTTATTAATCATTTATGCCATGTATGTGAGTACATGCATAGAGTCATAGATACAAACTGTTGCAAAGTAGCAATGAGTCCTGTAGCAACTTAAATTCTAACACATTATGGTGGCACAA